GCAGCCACGAGCACTGGGTACAAAACACAGGCGACTTTGCAGCTGTACTGAGCGGAACAAACCTAAGTTAATTTGGTTTTTTCGATAGATGAAGACGGATAAATTTGGCCTTTGGCGCACAAGGCCAGTTTTTTTAAAAAAAGTGAAATTCACCGGTCAATTTCCTCAGATGTGGTCAATTTCGCCAGATCAGTTTTCCCAACTTTTTTTTAACAGAGGCGAGTCAATTTCATCGTCTCTTCCTATAGATAGCCTTACAACCATTGCTTTGTCACTCACCTGGTTTTCTTGCCTGAGGTGGGACTAGAACTCACTGTCACCTGGTGATGGGCCCAAAGTCACCCAGCCGGCTTTCATGCCTAAGGCGGGACTAGAACTCAACGTCTCCTGATGATTGGCCCAAAATTACTAAGCTGATTTCATGCCTAAGGCGGAACTAGAACTCCCTGTCCCCTGGTGATTGGCCCAAAGTCTCCCAGTTGACTTCATGCCTAAAGCGGGACTAGAACTCACCATCTCCTGGTTTCTAGCCTGACGTCTTTAACCATCAGTTCAGACCTGCCGCATTAAATGCATTATTAAATCAATCAAGGACCACCTGTACGGTCGGTCATAAGTCGAGGACCCCCTGCATAAACCCCGCAGACGAAACACTGGCTTCATCTCACAACTGCGTCTCTCCCTCGTCGAAAAACCAGAAATCTCCGAAAAGGTTTCGCATTTCAACCGTCCCACAAACCCAGATCGCATAATTACGCCATTATGTCTTCCTCAGAGGAGGAGGAGGAGGAGGAGGAGGAGGAGGAGAATATAATGTTGTAAAGCAGAAACGGCCTCCCAGCTGGGCCGAAATGCACGAAGGGGGGGGGAGGGTGGCCGCCCCGTCCTTTTCATCTCCCCCCCCTCCTTTCCAACGCAGACCCCAAGCAACAAAAGAGGTTTTGTGACGCCAGCATCTGGAACGGAGCACCAAACGTACAGAATTCTACAGAATGGGGAAGGGACCTCAGGGGTCATCTAGACCGACCCCGCCCCGCTCGGGCAAGAGAGCCTATCACGAGGGAAGCGTTCTGCACTCTCCCATTGGTCAGCCGGAGAGAGACAGGGAGACTGGCCATTGGTCCCAGCAAGGTAAAAGGTGAAAGTCTGCAAGGTTGCCTTGGAAACGCTTGCAGCCATCTTGATTTTTTTGCCCTCTCCTTCCCCCCCCCCCCAAGCAAGGATATTCCTGCCTGGAGATCCCATCACACACGGCCTCGTTTCCAAACCCAGCAAGAATCAGACAATTGTGCAGGGAAAAAAAAACCTTGTACAATTCTCATGACGGATAAGCTTTGTCCTGTGAGATTTCTTCCTGCACTGCCGACAGTCCTCGACTTATGACACTTCGCTTAGTGACCACTGGAAGTTACAACGGCACTGAGGGGGAAAAAAAGGGTGTTAAGGGCCGTTTTTCACGCTCCCGACCGTGGGCGGCATCCCCCATGGTCACGAGATCAAAATTCGGTACGCTGGACCACGTTAAGTGGGCCGGGTCACTTTTTTTCAATGCCGTTGTTAACTTTGAACCGTCACTAAGCGAATGGTTGTAAAACAAGTCCCCCACCACCACCTTTGTAAGAAGAGCAGGAAACCAGTCTCTAAGGCGCTGGAGGTTTTGAAGAAGAGACTGAAAGGACTATTTGTCCGGAATGGTCTAGGCGCTAGCGTCTACGGTCTCTCCTACTTGAGCAGGGGGCTGGACTAGATGACCCCCAAGGTCCCTTCCTACGCCGTTATTCTGTAATCCCCGATCAATTAAGCAGTGGAATGGCTTCCAGAGGTTGTGGGGGAATCCATCCCTGGAGGTTTTCAAGAAGTCCCTTTGAGTCCCTTTGGGAGAAGGACGGTATATAAATTAATTAATTAATTAAATAATTAAATAATTAAATAATTAAATAATAAATAAATAAATAAATAAGAAAGAAGCGATTGGACAATCATTTGTCTAAAATGGCCTAGGGTCTCCTGCTTGAGCAGCGGGGGTCAGTCTAGAAGACCTCCAGGGACCCTTCCGACTCTTTGTCCTTCTGTTAAGGCCGTCCCAATTCTAGCCGTCTCCCTCCCTCCCTAGCGGACTTACCCTCCAGATCCTGGGCAATGTTCAGGGTGGAACTCCAGGAGAACTTTTCCACCAGGCTTGCCTCCAGATCCGTCAAATCGGGGGGCAGCGCCTCCAACTCGTAAGCCCCCCTCTTCTTCCAGTAGAGAAACATCTCGGAGCAGCCGAAGGAAGGAGGCGCCGACTTTTTGACGTTCTTCTCCTTCGCAATCGTCCGAAGTGGCTTTCTTGCTAACCCACTTAGGTGGGTCGCCCCCTCCCTCTCCCAAAGCCGAGACACCCCCCCCCTCACTCAACGTGGAAAAGAGCTGTTTTTTGGGGGGTACAAGGAGCCCCTTCAGCCCCTGCGAGCCGAAGTTTTCTGGGAACCGAGTCGGACTCGCGAAGAAACCCAAGCAATGTTCGTCAACTCTTGTCTGGACAAAGAGCCCTTTTCTTTCGCCTCCTACGGACATCGTCCGTCCGTCATGAAAGGGATCTCGAGCCCGAGACAAGACGGACAGACGGAGGGCGGGCGGGTGGGTGGGTGGGGGGTCTGGGAGACAGACCGGATGGGGAAGGCCTGATCCCCACACTCCCCGTCCGAGGAGAGGCAAGAGCAAGCCACGTTCCTTTGATGGGAGTTTGCAACGACTAGCCACCATGAGCTGGCTTTCCGAGCTTGATTAAAAGAGATTAAACCAGCATACAAGCCAGCATACAAACTTCAGAATGATGGGCGAATCTGAGAACTGGCAGTCCTCGGCTTAACGACCGCAGTTGGCAGAATTCCCACGCTGCTAAAACGAGTCGACGGTGATTTTTACGACGGTTTTTTGCTACGGCTGCTAAATGCAGCTGTGGTTGTTAAGTGAGTCACATGGCTGTTAAGTGAATTTGGCTTCTCCACTGACTCGGCTTGTCCGAAGGTCGCGAAAGGAGATCACCTGACCCCCTGGGACACTGCGACCGTCATAAGTATGAGTCAGCTGCCAAGCATCTGAATTTCGATCACGTGTCCGGCGTGGATGCGGCGACGGTTGTAAGTGGGGAAAAAACGGTCCTTAGTCCCTTTTTTTCAGTGCCGTTGTAACTATGAACGGTCACTAAATGAACTGTTGTAAGAGGATTACCTGTACAGCTTAAATTCTAATTATTTTAATATTTGGAGAAGCCAGTCTTGATTGTGTGATTCCCTTCGACAACTCGAGCCACCCCAGCAAGAGAAATTTCCTCTCCGGCCTCACCCCAGTTTACGCCCGACCTCGCACCGTATATCGGACGAAGCGAGCAGCCGCCCATGAAATTGGGAGGTTTTGAAATCGGTCTGGTGGGCCGGAAAAAATCAGAGCGGGCTCCCGCTGAATTTTTTGTCATTGTGGACTCTGCTCTCTTGCACCATCAAACCTGAGGAATTTCAGCTGGTGGAGAGAGAGAAGGACGGGAAAATATCTCCAGGTCAATTAAAAGGCGCCGGGGTAGAAACTAGGAGATGGCGAATTCTAGTTCTGCTTTAAAGGTGTTAAAGGCGGCTGGGTGACTTTGAGCCAATCACCAGGAGACGGTGAGTTCTAGTTCTGCAATCGGTATTAAGGTTAATGGGGTGACTTTGGGCCTATCACCAGGAGACGGTGAGTTCTAGTTCTGCAATTGGTATTAAAGCCGACAGAGTGACTTTTGAGCCAATCACCAGGAGACAGTGAGTTCTAGTTCTGCAATTGGTATTAAGGCTAATGGAGTGACTTTGGGCCTATCACCAGGAGACAGTGAGTTCTAGTTCTGCAATCGGTATTAACGCTGACAGGGTGACTTTTGAGCCAATCACCAGGAGACGGTGAGTTCTAGTTCTGCAATCGGTATTAAAGCCGACAGGGTGACTTTTGAGCCAATCACCAGAGACGGTGAGTTCTAGTTCTGCAATCGGTATTAAGGCTAATGGGTGACTTTGGGCCTATCACCAGGAGACGGCGAGTTCTAGTTCTGCCTTAGGCATGAAAGCCGGCTGGATGGCTTTGGGCCAATCACCAAGCGACACGATAGATGGGGTATCCATGAGGTCCCCCCCCCAAAGGAATGAAGCTGGGGAGGGGGGGGGGAAGGTGTCACGTGACCCAGAGGGAAAAGTGGAGCGTTGTGCAGCCCCTCCAGCAACAGGAGTGCCTTCTGGGATTAATTCCTCCAGATTTGGCACATTTTCAACCTAAATTTTGCTGTTTCTGCTTAATGTTTGTTTTCTTTGCTTCGGGGCAGACGGCCGGCCGCTGGACATAATCCCTTTTTCCGATGATGGAGAGAATAAAAGGGATTATACATTTAAAAAAAAACACCCAGCATGGCGCTATTGTTCTGGGCATCGCACACCGAACCCACAATTTCGCGGCCTCCTTAACAAGCACAATTTAGCAGCCGATTGCACAAGGGTGTGTGTGCAAAGGAAAGTCAATGTGGGGGGGCGGGGGAAAGCCGGATTCATTTAACAACACATTACTTATTTAACAACTGCGGTGATTCACTTAACAACGGGGACAAGAATGGTCACCAAATGGGGGAGACGACAAATGTCTCACTTAACAACAGAAATGTTGGGCTCCATTGTTGTCCGTAAGTCAAGGACTGCCTGTATAACAGTCTCCAATTAGGGGGTATAATACGTGTATATGTGTTTGTGTCCATTTTTTTATGCGATTCTTTTAATCTTGTTTGTTTTTGTTTCTGTACAAAAAAATCTTTTTCGGAGTTTCGGTTTACCTTTTTTTTAAAAAAAAATACTTTTTAAAAAAATAAAAAATACTTTTTTAAAAAATAAAATACTTTTTTTAAAAATAAAAAATACTTTAAAAAAAAGAAACAAGTTTTCCAATTTTGCTTTCGCAGCCTTCCAACGTTGCTCAAAGCCGACACGGAGAGTGAGATACCCGTCAGGTTTGTACAAAATGTTTTTAATTAGAATATCGTGATAAAAAAAAAAAACAATCCCGCTAACTGGAGAAGGGAGGATGCAAATTTCGCCGAGGGGGAAGACACCACGCCGGTTCAAAACAAGAGAAAGTCCGCTGGGTCCCGGAGACGAAGGAGGAATTCACGGGCATCGGTGCTCTCGCCTCTGCAGATGCTTCTTAATTTTTAATTTCCCAGCACCGGAGATGTCGTAATTGTAATCCGAGGTGACGTATGGGATCTCCCCATCGGTCCTGGCCTGGAAACAGAGAAAGGTATGGGGAGAATGGACCAGGACGCTGTTACGAGACGCTCGTCCTTAAGGAGATGCTTCGAGACGCTGAAAATCCAGGAGACGGATTCCCAAATGCTGCTTTGGACCCTCGGAGTCCCCTTTTATCTGGCAGGGAAGGGGGGTACGGGATGCTATGGGGCAGTTTGTCCCCCAAGGCTATTGATCATCTCAATCCGTAAGAATGGAAACTCATCAAGGAGAGGAGCAACCTAGAATTAAGGAGGAATTTCTTGACAATCAATGGAAGGGATTGCCACCAGAAATTGTGGGTTCTCCATCACTGGAGGTCTTCAAGAAGAGACTGAATAGAGATTTCTCTGAAATGGTCCTCGGGTCTCCTGATTGAGCAGGGGGTTGGACTAGAAGATCTCCAAGGTCCCAACTCGGTTATTCTGAGATAGATAGATAGATAGATAGATAGATAGATAGATAGATAGATAGATAGATTGGATGGATGGATGGATGGATGGATGGAAGGGTGGATGGATGGATGGATGGATGGAACAGCTTGCCTCCAGAAGTTGTGGGGGCTCCATCACTGGAAGTCTTCAAGAAAAGATCGGACAACCATTTGACCCTGATGATATAAGGTTTCTGTCAGCACAAGCTGCATTTACTCTAGTGCTGACATAAGGAGGAGGAGCGGAGGCGTCTGGAAAGGGACGTTTGACTTTTCACCTACTTATTTTCCCTGGAGATAATATCCCCTAGGAGATGGGATGGGAGGGGGGAAATTCCTTTGAGCTGGAGCAGTAGATTAGGGGTAGAATGACTTGGAAGATGGCCAATGAGTGCAGGGAGTGGGGAACGGAAAGGGAGGGTTTTGGGGCTGGAAGTCAGTGTTGGCTTCCATGAGTCGGGAGGTAGAATGTCATGCTTAATAAATAGGAGTTTTTCTTCAAAGACTTTGTTTGAAATGCAATTTATTTGAGACGACCTCGAAACCTGACAGTTTCCTGCTCAAACAAGGGGTTGGATTAGAGGACCTCCAATTTCCCTTCCAACTCTGTTGTTAACAACAGGACGTGATAGCAGCCTTCCAGAATGGGTGAGCTTATTCTCCAAAGCATGTAAAGGCAGGGCAAGAAGGAACGGATGGAAACTAATCCAGGAGAGAGAAGCAATCTGGAATTAAGGAGAAATTCCCTGACCAAACGGCTTAATGACCGTGTGATTCATTTAATGACCTTAACCACCACAAGAAAAATAGAGCGCAGAGTCTCTTTAACAACTTCTTTACTCAGCAGTAAAAATGATGACCGCGTTTGGGATTGTTAAGTAAAGAGCTACTGTACTCTTCAGCTATTAACTGCAGCCATGAGGACTAGAAACTTGGGAGTTTTTTTTTTTTTTTTTTTCATATGAAGCACAAACTGACGTCGCACGAGATGCATTCTCCTCCTCCTACGGGATCGTGTGCTAAGACCACACACTCCCATTCAGGGCCTTCCTCATAATTCATCCTCTCCCTATGGAAAGTTGTGCCCCTTTTACAAACAGGAGTATGCCCTCGCTTTGATCTTCTGCGTGGCTGCGTGGCACGTTGAGATGTTTGAACTCAAAGCTGCCGGCCGGCCGGCCAAGGAGCAGCATCCCATGGTGCATAACGAAAGCGCAGCGAAAGGGATTAGAAGAGATCAGCGTCAGCGAGAGGGATTAAAAGAGATCAGGTCTCTGCTGCCTGTTGGCATTTATTCTCAGCGTCCCGGCGTCCCACTTACTTGGTTCAAAAAGACGCAATTGGGGATGGCGATGTTGCCGATCAGCAAACAGTTGACGCGGCGTAAGTTCTCCGGAGCCACCGGCGTCAGGATGTAGTAAAGCTTTTGGTCATGTCAACCCCTCGGACAATTCCTGTTTTAAAAAGAAATGGAAAATTTCGGATTTCAACCTCTGGTGATTTAGCAAAGGATGCAGCTGGATCCAAAACGGGTCAAAAAAAGGGGGGGGGGGAAAGCAGAAGTGTCCAACGAATGGCGATTTTAAAACTTGTGGACTTCGGCTCCCAGAATCCCCCAGCCAGCCAGGGGAATTCTGGGAGTTGAAGTCCCCAAGGCTTAAATGTTTCTAAGGTTGGACCCCCTTAAATCAGGATTTTAAGGCAGGAAGTTGGCAGAGGTAATTTTCAGCGGAGAGACGTTCTCTGGGAAGCGGAGGCGGCCACCACACTGTGAGAGAATAGATTTTGCGTTTTTATCTTTTAAGGTTTTATTTATCTGGATATTTCCCATTTCTGAAAGGAGCATCGCTTAACAAGATGCCAAAAATTAAAATAAATTTACACTGAAGACGAACCAATCAGAGCGTCAAAACATTGCAGGAAAGGAAACGACGAGCAGAAGAGAGATTTTTGGGGTACCGAGCGGCTCGCTCCATTACTACGGGGCAGTCCTCGAGTTACGACCACTTGCTTAGGGACTGTATGAAGTTGGGGCGACACTGAAAAAAAAAGGGACCCGGGTGACACTTACAACCACGGCGGCATCGACAACGAGCCGCATCCGATTCTGCCACCATTTTCGGGACGGTCGCTAAGGGAGTCCCTGAAGTTGTTACGCGGATCGTGGGTCGTTAAGCGAATCTGTCTTCCTCTGTTGATTTCGCTTGTCGGGAAGGCCGCAAATGGGAGATCACATGATCCCATTGGCCAGCACCTGAATTCTGATCACACGACTGCGGGGGGTTACGGGACACGCTGCGAGGGTCGTAAGTGTGAGGACCGGTGGTAGTGTGAGGGCCGGCCATAAGTCCCTTTCTTCAGTGCTGCTGTAAACTTTGAAGGGGCCCTGAGGAAGCGGTCGTAAACCGAGGACGATTTGCACAGGCTATCCGTCCTCTCCCGCACGCGAGGAGGACGACTCGCTGATGACACGGACTCTTTTGTGTAAAAGCCAAAAGTTGTGGTTGTCTTGTTGTTCCCTTTTACTGTGCTAAAGAAGTCGGTGCCTTTGTCCCGTTACACTAATATCCTTCTCCCTTTCTCTCTTTTTACTTTTTCAGCCTTTTAATTTCCTTTGTATTTTTATTCTTCGATAAACTGATTTTTTAAAAAAAGCGAAATTGTGACGAGACGAGCTCTTCGGTTCGCCCCGAATCCACGTGAACAATTCGTGCCAATCATCCGCGCCCCGCTTACCGAAGCCCAGGCAGTCGCAGAGGGGCGTCTGGGACGACGACAACACCACCGGCCCCTCTGCTTTACACGGCACCTGATCCGGCAGGTGACACAGGCCGACCCAACTGGCGTTGAGGGAACACAAGATGTGAGTCGGGGCCACGTCCATGTGGATCACCTTGAGGGCAGTGGCGGTGAAGGGCACCTGGGAGGGGAAAAACAGGAGGTCAATTTGTTGGGGTTTTTTGGTCCGGGTGACGAATACGTCATCGAGCCAAGATTTGATGCCGCGGCCAAAATAATACCTGAATTTAGGGTAGGAAGGAGGAGTAAGAGGGAGACAGGCGTTCAGGAAATGTTCAGGAAGTCCCTCGGGTGGCAGAGATGGAGAAGGAGGGATTTAGTTTTAGGGAGATGTTAACCAGGTAAAGGAAATTCATATATATATACATATATATGTCAAGTTTCCGAAAGATGCCCTAATTAATTCATGAGCCATGATCCAAACTTCAAAGGAAATATAGTCATTTATTAGGAGCAACATTCCGGCAATACTGGGATGCAGTTAGGACTGATCCCGCGTAGATTTACGTTCCCCTATGACCCTGTCTCTCCCCTCCTCTCTGCCGTGTCATAAATCACATTCTCCAATTAACCACTTTGGCTGGCTGTGAAATCCAACACCCTCCTTCTGATTGCGGTCAGGAAGAATGTATGGAATGCATTTCAGTTCTCCCTCCCTCCTGCTCATGGCAACTTGAAAGCTTTGCAAATTGACAATATATATATATTTGTTTTCTGAGGTTTTCGCGGGTGTTTTGTATGTAGGTCTTTGGTTATTCGGGTTTTCTCCCGCGTAAAATTGGAAGTGTCTTGGCGACGTTTCGACGAAGTCTCATTCGTCATCTTCAGGCTGGTGTTTTCAGCTTCGTGCTTCTAGGAGCAATGTGTGATCGCAGCTGTTTCTTCCTTTTAACACATTGCTCCTAGAAGCACGAAGCCGAAAACACCAGCCTGAAGATGACGAATGAGCCTTCGTCGAAACGTCGCCAATTTTATGCGGGAGAAAATCTGAATAACCAAAGACCTATATATATATATATATATATATATGCAGCGATAGCTAAATAAGCACTTTTATCTTTCTTGGGATTAAAATATTTCCGGAGCCGCCTGGAGATTTATTTGCTTAGCCTCAATTCCCTCTGCCTGTCAATTCTACCCCCAGGCAGGGCCTTACCTGATAGGGCACCAGGCTGGGCAGGGGGACCACCGGTTCCACGTTGGGGGGCTGCAGCTGGCCCAGGTAGCCCACCATGGTGAGGTTCCTCAGGGTGCTGCTGTGTGCTCGCCTGCAAGGACCGAAGCGGAGGTACATCAACGACGGGAGTCCTCGACTTACGACCACAACGGAGACCCCCCCCCAAAAAAATCTCTGTTGCTAAAGGAGATCATGTAACTCCGGGGCACTGTGACTGTTGTAACGAGTCAGTGGCCGAGCGAATTTTGGATCACGTGACCGCGGGGATGCTGCGACGGTCATTAAGTGTGAAAAAACAATCTTAAGTCACTTTTTCCCAATGCTGTCGTAACTTGGAACGGTCACTAAACGAACGGTTGTAAGTGGAGGAGCGCCTGTATTAGTTTGTACAAGATGTGCATGAGGTAGACAGTAAAACGCTTCTCGATCTCAAGGGGCAGCGAGACAATGACGGGGAGTCCTCTTCTTACGACCACCAGCAGGAAGCGGCTTTTCCCTTGTCGTTAAGTGTGAAAAACGGTTCATCAATCACTTTTTCCCCCACTCCAAAAGGACTTATGACTGTTTTTCTCACACTTACACGACACTGGAAATTCTGGTCGCCGTTGCATATAATAATTTAATAAAATTTAATAAATAAATAAATAAATAAATAAAAATAAGCATTGTAAGCCGCCCTGACTCTCCGGAGAAGGGCGGCATATAAATCGAACTAATCAATAAATAATAAATAATAATAAATATAAATAAATAAATATTTTGGTCACTAAACGAATGGCTGTAAGTCGAGGACTTTGGGTACCCTATAAATTCAACCCAGAAAATATCAGGCAATTTTATTTTTCTTTTTTCTCCTGCCTTTCCCGTCTCTGAGCTGGTACGTACCCTATGCCGGGGACTCCGGCGCCCGGAAATTTGGCGTGGACGCACAGCAACTGATGCCCAGGCTGTGGAGCATGGGTGCCTCCGTGGTTCTGGCAGTGTTGCCAGCTTTCGCCGGGATGTTTCCTTTTGAGGGAGGGTTTCCCCCGGGTGTGCAGGCCGGCGTTGCCGCGGATGTAGTCGGCGGAGAGCTGAGGCAGCTCTTTGAAATCCTCGGCGCTGAGCTGGACGACGTGGGTGGGCGACAGCGAGCGGATGACGTCGATCAGGAGCAGCAAGCCGGCCCCTGGGAGACGGGGGGGAGAGGAGGAGTGGGGAGGACGAGAGTGAGAAGGAAACCAGGGATCGCCCACTGAGAGGATCTTGCTTTGTGAAGGCCTGAGGTCGGTGGTTTTCTTGTGGACGTTTCATGACCCGACTAGGTTACATCATCAGTGCCAATTGCAGAAAGGAGGAGAAGGGAGGGAGGGAGGGCTGTGGGGACCTTTGGGTGCTGTTTGAGCTTGATCTTATTTTAAACCCTGATTTCAAAATCTCTGGAGCCATTCTAACAACTTGGGACCCAGCAAAGTCATGGAGCGCCGAGGGATAGAAGACCCCTCCCCACTGTTAAAAAAAATAAAATAAAATAGATGTGGGAAGGAGGAAGACTGGCTTGGCAGACCCACCCGCCCTCCCGCCTACCTTTCACCCAGCCCATGGTGTTGATCAGCAGAGGGACGTCTCTCTCGTAGCCTCCGAAGACGTATTTTAGGGTGTCGAGGTATCGCTCGGTGTCATGCTCGCAAGAGGCGTCCCCGTAGTAGGCCATTTTGCGAGGGGGGCGCTGGTGGGCGAATGGTGGACCTGAAGCGAAAAGAGGCAGCGGGGATGAAAATTGCATCTATCCATCCATCTCCTATCCATCCATCCATCTTCTATCCATCCATCCATCTCCATCCATCCATCTCCTATCCATCTCCACCCATCCATCCATCCATCCATCTATCCATCCACCTATCCATCCATCTTTCCATCCATCCATCCATCTCCTATCCATCATCCATCCATCCATCTCCTATCCATCCATCTCCTATCCATCCATCCATCTTCTATCCATCCATCCATCCATCCATCCATCCATCTCCTATCCATCATCCATTTCCTATCCATCCATCTTCTATCCATCCATCTATCCATCCATCTCCTATCCATCCATCTCCTATCCATCCATCCATCTTCTATCCATCCATCCATCCATCCATCCATCCATCCATCCATCTATCCATCCATCTCCTATCCCTCCCTCCCTCCCTCTCTCTCTATATATATACGTATGTATGTATGTATATTTATTAACTGTCCATCACCCTCCCTTAATAACCAACTTGCTTAGCAACAGAAATTCTGGGTCCCATTTTTTTTTGATTTTGCTCCTCATTTTTCTCTACTGACCGTCATCCTAATGTGAAAAGTTCCTCAGGCTGTTTCTTTTGTTTTTTCAAAGCTGTTTTTTTTAAAAATTCTGCAAGGCACCTACCCAAAAGGGGTTCCCGCACGTTCACCAGGGAAATGCAGCCCGGTGGGGTGAACTCCGGCTGCCCCAAATCGCATTCCAAGTATTCGAGGCAGGGAAGGCTGGAATTGAAAAAAAAGAGAGAAAAACAATCCGGGAATAATTCAAGAAAAATAACAAAACAACAGACCGGGCTGAGGAGAGGGAGGGGGGGGGGGGGGGGGGGGGGGGGGGGAGGGATCACTCACCGGTTTAGTAAAAGATTCATCAGGTATCTGTTAAATGTTGATTTTCCGATGCTTTTTGGGCCACAAACTAAGATAACCGGGCAGCCTTCATCTTCCACTAAAAAAGCAAGCAAAGAACTTTTGGGGTGAAGATTCAAGAATTCAGCACGGGGAGGGAATTCGGAGCACGGGGGGTCCTCAACTTATGACCGCAATAAGGGAATGCACCAACCAAAGTTGGAAGTCAACGTTTTCCCTCCCTTTCCTCTGCGCTTTTTTTCCTCTTTTCCTTTTTGGCTCCCGTTTTCCCGTTGCTTTCTTTGCGTTTCTATGTTTTGTATTTTGATCAACTCATAGAAAATATTCGAGGAGAAGGGCCCTCCCAAGGGGATATTTCTAAAGACAAAACAGCAACCGCCACGAAGCCCAACCACTGTTCCTGAGCTACTCACCCTGGCAAGCGTGGAACAGCTCCCCGATGGCCGAACCCATGCTCTGGGATACCAGCAGGCCACTGCCGGGGTCCAGCTGCCCAAGGCCGGCAGAAGCCAGCACTGGATCTTCTGGGGTGACGGGGAAAGCATCTTGTTTCTAGAGAGGAAAAGAGGGGAGGGGGATTAGCCAAAAGGGACCTTGGGCAACGGAGGGGAGGCAAAAATCAGAAGGAAGGCGCGCTGTGGTTTCGCTCTTTGGCACAGGAGCAACGGTCACTCCGGACACAATATTTTTCCCTTCCTTTCCCTCCCTCCCCTCTTCCCTTCCCTTCCGTTCCCTTCTTCTTTCTTTCCTTTCCTTTCCTCCTTTCCTTTCTTTCTTTCTTTCTTTCTTTCTTTCTTTCTTTCTTTTTCTTTCTTTCTTTCTTTCTGGCTTATTGTCTGTCTGTCTGTCTCTCTCTCTTCCTTCCTTTCCTTTTTTTTGTCTTATTCTTTCTTCCTTCCTTCCTTCCTTTTTTCTTTCTTGTCTGTTTCTTTCTTTCTTTTTTCTTTTCTTTCCCTTTCCTTTCTCTCTTCCTTTCTTTCCCTCTCTTTTCCTTTCTCTTTCTTTCTTCCCTTTCTTTTCTTTCCCTCTCTTTCCTCTTTTTCTTCCCTTTCTTTCTTTTCTTTCTCTTTCTTTCTTTCTGGCTTATTGTCTGTCTGTCTGTCTCTCTCTCTTCCTTCCTTTCCTTTTTTTTGTCTTATTCTTTCTTCCTTCCTTCCTTCCTTTTTTCTTTCTTGTCTGTTTCTTTCTTTCTTTTTTCTTTTCTTTCCCTCTTTCCTTTCTCTCTTCCTTTCTCTTTCTTCCTTTCTTCCTTTCTTTCCCTCTCTTTCTTTTATTTCTTTCATTCTTTCTTCCCTTTCTTTCTCTTTTCTTTCCCTCTTTCCTTTCTCTTTCTTTCTTTCTTCCTTTCTTTTCTTTCCCTCTTTCCTTTCTCTTTCTTTGTTCCCTTTTTTTCTTCCCTTTCTTTTTCTTTCCCTCTCTTTCTTTTCCTTCCTTCCTTCCTTCCCTTTTCTCTCCCTTTCTCCCTTTATTTATTTATCAATTTCTACAGCCACCTATGTAAAACCAAAGGTGTTTTTTCCAAAAGGCAACTGAACTTTCTTGCTTTTTCTTCTCCTTTTTAGAAAACGCTTCGCCTCTCATCCAAAGAAGCTTCTTCAATTGTTCAGTGAACTTTGTTTAAAGCGGCTGTTCAAAAATTACTGAAAATTTAGCGATCGTTTCAATCGTGGGTTGTTAAGTGCCGAAGAGCAGCTGTACTTTTAGGCCACCGCGGAACTCACTTTCGCTCTGAAGATCTGGGCGAATTCCGGGTGGCTGAGAATGAACTGGGTCACCGGTGTGTCCAGCTGTTCTAGCAAAAGGATGGAGCAGTCTGGCCCAAAGCTTTTCAGCAGTCGGACTCGGGACTCTGAAAAACAAAGGAGGAAGCCAGAGATTTAATTATTCACTTATTAAACTGATTTGCTGCCCAACTTATCACAAGGCAACACGTGACATTGTTATACCTATATATATAGTCTAGTTGGATCTAGTGATGGAGACAAGGGCGAGAAACCAGGAGATGGTGAGTTCCAGTTCCGCCTGAGGCACGAAAGGCAGCTGGGTGTCTTTGGGCCAATGACCAGGAGACGGTGAGTTCTAGTTTCTCCTTAGGCCTGAAAGCCAGCTGGGTGTCTTTACGCCGGCCTCTCTCTCTCTTTCAGCCCAGCCCACCACGCAGGATCGTTGTTACGTGGCGAACAGGAGGAGGAAGGTGTGTCGGATATGTTGAGTTAGTTGTCAACCCAATAAAGGTGGGATATGAATAAGCAGATATATGGAATTAAACGAACCTGGTCACCTCGCACTCCTTACCCTGGGGTACACGGTGTGCTCGCAGGAGGGCCTTGGCCTCCAGTTTCACCTCCTTCTCCGATTTTCCCGGGTCCTCGATGCCGGCGGCAGCTTCGATGGTGAGGGCGCAGTAGGTGTGCGGGGAGTAGAGGTCGTAAGGGGGCTGGTCCGGAGCGATGGTGAACCCCAAAACCTGCACGGATCCATACAGGCATGTCAGGCGACACTTGCCCGTGAAGGTCAGAGTCTGGAAGGGGAAAAAAACCAGAACAAGCTGTTACGGGTGATCCCCGACTTACGACGATTCATTTAGCGACCAAAGTTATGACAAAACACTTAAAACAAGTGACTTTGGAACACTTTTCACAGTTTACGACCATTTTGCGCATCCCTGTGTGGTCACGTGATCAAAATTGGGGCCCTTGGCGACGGATTCATACTTACGACGGTCGCGGTGTCCCCTCATCCCGTTTTGCAGACCTTCCCAATAAGCAAAGTGAACAAGGGAAGGCAGATTTCACTTATGAAACCCTGTTGCTAACTTAAAAACGGCAGGGATTCACTTAACGACCAAGGTCGTAAAATGGGGCAAAAAACTTCACTTAACAACCCTTAAATGAGAATTTTTGGGCTCGATTGGGGTCGTAAGTCGAGGACTGCCTGTATTTGTTATTTAGTCCTGGGGGGGGGGAATCCAGCGGGGAAGACACAAAAAGCCCCCCCAAAAAAGGGGAGGAGCCCCCCCAAAGATCCACCCACAACGACCTGCCACTCAAATAGCAGCCAGAGGAGGAAACAGCTTATAAACAAACTAGGCCCCGCCCCCTAAGGAAATTTGCATGGCCCCGCCCCTCTCGTTTGCATGGCCCCGCCCCGCGCTCACTTGCTCCGCAGGGAGCAGCACCACCGCGCGGCCTTCGCGGTCTTCGGCGGCCCTCAGCGTGGCCGGCTCAGCGGGGAGCTCCGGCGGAGGCGGCTTTTCTCGGCGAGGTGCCCCGTTTTGGAGCCGCTTCGGGCCGGCCAAGCGGCGGCGGCGGCGCCGACTCGCCATCCGAGCCTCCCCGGTGCAGCGAGGAGGTCTCCACAGCGACGTCTCGCGAAATCTCGGGGACTCTCGCGAGAGCACGGCCCGTCACGCCTCTCGCCCTCCTCCTCCTCCTTTTTTGATGTTGATAGAGCTGCGAAACAATAGACAAGCCCCTTCTTCACTTGGATTCCATCTTCCGGAAATGCTTCAGAAAGTTGAATTAAAAAGAAGCCCCTAAAGATTTGCAAAGAGCAAAATGATTTTTTTTTTTTTTATGGAGATTTTTTATTTTATTTTATTTTATTTTATTTCGAATTTATATACCGCACCTTCTCCCGAGGGACTCAGGGCGGTGTACAGCCAGATAAAAACATACAATACAAACATTAAAAACAATTAAAAGGATATTAATTTGATGATGGGAGGGGGAAACCTTTTCCTAAATATTCATTTCCCCTCCTTTGCAGTTTCAATCCAAGGAGATGAAAAAAAAAATCACATAGAATAGAGGAGAAGATTAGGGGCTTTGAAAAAATGGGTGGGCTTCCACTCCCCAGAATTCCCCACTTTAGCAAAAGCTGCTGCAAAAAGTCAATACTGATTAAATCTTGATATTAAGAATTGATATCAAAAAATATAATACACTAGTATAAAAAAGTAAAAAATATATAAGTTTTAAAGATATTTAAACTATTTTAAAACAGGTTAAAAATAGAGGGCAAAAAAACAATAATCATTTTTTAAAAATCAATTCCTGCCCTGGGATCACCAATCCCATCCATTGGGTTGGCTGGGAAGCATGGGCTGCGTGGTGCACCGCCTGCAAAAAGCCAGAATCCGCGCGTGGGCGTGGCCGGAGGGGGCGTGACCCGCGCCCCCTCATTAGCATGCCGCGCCCCCCACCTAATGACGTCACGCGCGTCTCTGCCCGGGCCAAGATGGCGGCGCTGTGCTTTTTATGCCGGCGGTCGCAGTGAGTGGGGGGCGCGCAGGCGAGGTGAGGCGGGGGTCCTGGGGTGGGGGTGGGGTCTTTGCCGGCTGTCAGGGGTGGGGAGGAGCCTTTCTGCGGGTTGCTCTGCCGGGCTGGGGATGATGGGACCCTCCCTGCAGGCAGAGCTGGTTTGCAACCATTGGGGACTCCAGGACCCATGCGCCTCTGCCGGCCCTTGCACGCCCATTGAACCAGGACCGCCTTTGCGAAGGCTCAGCCTCTCCCTCCCCTAGACCGAACTGGAGTTTGCACCAAGGTTGGTGGGAGGGTGGGACTCCAAGACCCATGCGCCACTTCTGGCCCTCGCGTGCCCGTTGCCTACCTTTTGCACGCTCATTGCGCACCCCATTGAACGAGGACCACCTTTGCAAAGACAGCCCCCCCCCCCTTTTCCCCAGGCCGAGTTGCACCAAGGTTGGTGGGAGGGTGGGACTCCAAGACCCATGTGCCTCTTCTGGCCCTTGGGAAGGGCCCCTTTCATACCTTTTGCACGTTCATTGCACACCCCATTGCACGGGGACTCTCCTCTTCCCATCTTTGCAAAGACCCCCACACACAAACGCTGCCGAGCTGGAGTTTGCACCACAGTTGGTGAGGATAGGACTCCAAGACCCATGCGCCTCTTCTGGCCCTTGGGGAGCCTTGCATACCATTTGCACGCTCATTTGCACACCCCCTTGCACGGGGACCTTCTTCCTGTCTTTGCAAAGGGCACCCCAGGTCGAGCTGGAGTTTGCGCCAAGGTTGGTGGTGGGTGGGTCGGACTCCAAGGCCCATGTGCCTCTTCTGGCCCTTGGGCAGCATTGCATACCATTTGCACGCTCATTTGCACACCCCCTTGCACGGGCACCCCAGGCTGAGCTACACAAATGTAGAGGGGGAGGACAAATTGTGGATTCTGGGAAAGACCGTCGTCCTTTCTCTTCCAGCGTGCCATGGAGGGGGGCATCCTTGCCCAGCACAGCGTGCGGGTCCTTCAAGAGCTCAACCGCCAGCGCCAGAGAGGTCAGTTTTGCGATGCCACCCTCTCCGTGGGCAGCCTGGTCTTCAAAGCCCACTGGAGCGTCCTGGCTTGCTGCAGTGCCTTTTTCCAAACCACTTACGACGACGGCGGCGTGGCCGCCAGCAAAATCATCCTCCCGGACACCTTCGTGGAAGCCTTCACCCTCCTCCTCGACTTCTTCTACACCGGCCGCCTGGACGTCACCTCGGACAACCGGGACAAGCTGCTGGAGACGGCCAAGGAGCTCTGCGTCCCCGAGGCCATCCAGCTGTGCCAGGAGTTTCAAGCCGGCCTCTCGCAGAGCGGCGAAGTTCCCAGCGACGAAGTTCCCGACGCCACTTCGCCGGCGGAAGAATCGATTTACGAGGCTGAGCCCCCCAACCCCCCCGCCTCGGAAAGTCCCCAGACTCGGGGCGTTAAAGGCGCTCAGGGGCCACAGGACGGCCCCGCCCTCCCTCGGGGGAAGTTGAAAAGGCTCCCCCAAACTAACGTTGTAAGCCGCGCAGGCGACGTAAAGGATACCCCGGAATGTAAGGAACTTAAACGGCCCCTGAAAAACGAAGCCGCCGAGGACGCGGGCGCCAGTCACGAGGTGGCGTGCGGAGTAACGTGCTCTCTAGGAATTGCCCTTGTCTGCTCCTGACCCAGAAAAATGGGGGGGAGAGAAGTGGGGGGGGGGGGGGACGGGGGGGGGGGGGGAAGGTGTGGTGGAAGCAGGGAAAATTATGGGGGTCTTGAAAATATCGCGGGCAATTTGATGCAGGTTGCTCTGTTTGGAGAGGGGCGAATTTGGGGTGCCACTAGCCTATTTTTTTTTATAAAAAAAGAAATGTTTACATGTTTAGACTGGTCAAGCAACCAGCCCTCATTGAGGTCCTGGGACAATCTAGTGCAATTTTGCTTTCGAGGTGGGGGGGGGGAAGATATTCTACAAGCAGCCATGTTCTTCCTTCCCAGCAGGAGACCCCAGAGGTCCTGGGATCGAGCGATCTCCCTTCCGAAGATCACAACGGAGGAAGGGAAAAAGATGACACGGATGAAGATTACGTCCCTGATCAAAAGAGCGTCCGGACGAGAAAAAGACCGTCTTTAACCAGAGCCTCTCGAAGCAGCAGCAGCAGCGGCGGCTCCAAAAGCACCGGAAATGGCCACCATCACAAAGCTGCAGCCCTCAGACCCCGCAGAGGCACGGCTGAACCGGTTGAATGTCCCACCTGCCATAAGTCTTTCCTCAGCAAATATTATCTGAAGGTCCACAACAGGTAAGTTTGGGGCGTCGGTGGAGGGAGGAAAGAAGGGTGTCGGGGTTCCCACGGATGCCCTAATTATGTCATGAGCCTCGAGCCAAGCGTCAAAAGAAATGCAGTTATTTATTAGGAGCTTCATGTCAGCACGTTTACCAAGTGAAGCCAGCTCTGACCCTACGTAATTTACGCTCCAATTATGACCCTGTTTCCCCCCTCCCACCCAGGGTGTATCATCAATCACATTCATGGGTTGTAGAGATCGCTCCCCTCCGGCTGCTGTGGGTAACCCTGGGATACAGCCTTGAGAGAGAGAAGCGTGGAATCTATTTTTGGCTGCTGTGCCATTTTTTGCCGGTTTCCTATTCCCCCCTGGATTATGGCAACTCGAGAGCAGGCCAGGAATGCTTTGCGAGTTGACAAAGGGAGGAAGAGGAGGCTTCTGGGAACTTGTAGAAGGAAAGGGGGATCTCTGCTCCCCATTGTGTTGGTTCTGCTGTGTTCCTAATTGCTTACAGTGAAGATATGTTGGCTTGTTTGAGGTATTGGTAGTTAGCTCTGTGCTTTATGAAGCACTGCTCCCTGGAATGGCCGATGGCCAACTTTCCTCGCTGGAATGACCAGTGATTAACTCTCCCCCAGCCCGAACAAGCAATGATCAACCTCATTCCTTGGAATGACCAATGATGAATCAGTCTTCTAGGAATGACCTAAGGATGTTCAATCTAACTCCCTGGTCAACCTCATTCCCTGGGATGACCAAAGTCCAACATTGCTAATTCGACCCCATTTTTGTGATATTTTCCTCCACCCCTTGAAAGGAAGCACACGGGAGAGAAGCCCTTTGAATGTTCCAAGTGCGGGAAGTGCTACTTCCGGAAGGAAAACCTGCTGGATCACGAAGCCAGGAATTGCGTGAGCCGGTCGGAGCAGGTATTTGGAACGGCAGGTCCCTTCTCCTGGTTGGAGAGTTGGAGGGTCACGGACTTTGGGAAAGCCACCCATTGGAGGCCCCAATGTTGCATGGAAGCCCCAACCTTTGGCCAAGTAGTCAACTTTGGAAAAAGAAAGCTGGCTTGTGTTGCAAACCTGGCTTGTGTTGCAAAGCTGGTCTTGGAAGTTCTCCAGAACCTCCTCCTAAGAGGAAACCAGCTACTTCACAGGGCTGGGAAGGTGGGTGGAGTAAGATGGAAAGCTTGTTAGTGGTTCCAGCTTGACTCATCTCTCTCGTCTTCCCCACCTCCCCTCCCCTCCTCCACCAGGTGCACACCTGTTCTGTCTGTCAAGAGGTCTTCAAGAAGCGGGTCGAACTCCGGCTGCACATGGTGACCCACACGGGTGAGATGCCTTACAAGGTGAGCCTGCCTTGCGCTCGAGTGTCTTGCTGGGCACGAACGGGTGGCACGCTGAGAAATTGCTCCTGACAGCCCAGCTGTGGCTGGACCCATGCTTCCCAGCCCTTACAGCTGTATGTGAAAACCGACATGCATGTCGTAGAAACCACCATTGAGGGAGAATTCCGCTTCTGTTGTGCGTCTTTGTTGCGTTTCCCAGCCGGGATTTCCCAACCCAGCCCAATCGAAGCATGCTGGGGTGGGGGAGGGGGGGTAAACGGCTCCAGTCCTCACCCTGTCTCGGTGGCCCCTTGGCGCTGAGCGACGCCCGCCTGTTTTGCAGTGCTGTTCCTGCATCCAGCAGTTCATGCAGAAGAAGGAACTGCAAAGCCATCTCATCAAGCTACACGGCGCCCCCAAGCCGCACGCGGTGAGCAAGCATCAGCGGGGCGTTCCGTTCCCAGAGGTGGTATTCAGCCGGTTCGGGCGAATCCGTA